CGGTGCTGGGTTGGCCATGACCTCGCACCACAAAGCTACGGTGGGGGCATACAAGCGCATCAATTCGCCAGCAGCCACATCTCCGAAGCACTGATATAGCTGACCCGCGAGGCCGAAGTCTGCCAGGGACGGCGACTTCCCGAACAGGAAGGGTCGCGATGCCAGGTGCTTCTCCAAGAGCTGTAGGGTCTCCAGGTAGGACTGCTCTATGATGGGTGCGGTCTGAACGTTGGAGCCCACAGTGAAGCTCCTCTGAAGCATTCGTTCCTTAAAGCTGGAGGCCATGGCCACCATGGTGTCAACATCCGGCGCACCGGAGCAAATCTCCGCCGCCGTGCGGCGCGAAATGACCTCGGCCGACAGGCCAGAGGAGCTGCTGTACCAGCGAAAATGCATCATCCACTTGTTGCCCCATTCATCTCCAAACTCTTCCAACAACGCAGACATGAATCGTCCAACTGGACTTGGCGGGTAGATGGACCTTTCCGGAAAGAGTTGCTCCATTTCTTCGATCATTGGAGTGCTATCTTGAAGACCTTGGCCCTCTGGAGTGACTAGTGTTGGGATCAAAGGCAGCTTGGCATACTTTTGATGTTCTTGCATCGACTCTGGAGAGTTACGCACGACCCACTTGTGGTTGATACCTTTGTAGCGAAGGTAAGATCGCACCTTAATGCTGTAAGGTGATCCAGCTGCACCGAAGAGACGGTATTGCCCATGTGGACTCATGACAAAATTGCCCTCCCCTTGGATGGGGTTTGGCTGCATTTGAGCTGACTGGTCTACAAACATGCACGAGTTGGATCATGCGGAGTGTTTTTTCTCAGGAGGTCAGACGTTCTTTTCCATCCAAAACGATTCCAGAACATACCGGACCCTCGGAACTGCCAGACTGCGATACTCGGAACTGCGATACTCGTACGCCGACCACCGGCTTTTGTTGATCGTGAACACCATGCCCTGATGTAAGCAAAGACCACCTCCCATGAAGCAAAGAAACTTAGGAGTTTGAGTTCGACCTTCATGACTGGGGTTGCCCTGCCCAAAAATCTTCGCGCATCCTGAATGAAGAGAATGTCTCCAAAAAAACATGTGACGACTCACCGGTCCAGCCGCAACCCTGGTGAATTCCTCACGGGGTTTTCTCCTGGTCGCCGCCCCAAGCCTGCCATCCCCCTTCGGGCCTCCACTGGTGGGTTTTGGGCGCCACGCTTCTGCATCGGCATCGCCAGCTTGTGCGGAGCTGTGAGAACCTCCCTTTTTGCTGCAGTAAGCACTCAATCACAGGGTCCTGCATCATCTTGCAATCTTACATCGCGCGGTGTCGGTGTGGGTGTGTGTGTGTGTGTGTTTGTCTTTGAAAAGCTGCGCTGTGAGCCTGAGAGTCAAAGCGGGAGATGAAATCTGGTCTCAAGTCCATTGCCAAACCAGTAACAGAATCTGAAGATATGTCAATAATGCCTATGGCAGCTGCGTTCTTTTGCCACGAGAAATGACGGATGGCCAGACAGATGTCCCAAAGACCGGAGCACCCGCAGCTCAGCAGAGCAGCTGCTTGTTCCACGTGCTCAGTCACGGGAGCATGGAGCTAGCCATGGTTTTGAATCGCAAGGCACAGCCAAAGGTTGAGCTAAGCGGTAACCTTTGTCATTTGGTCACCAAGGTGGGCACCGTGACTCCAATACGTTCCATCTCTGCAACCATCCGGATACGCGGTCATTGAAAACCAACTCGTTCGTCGGAGGTCACGTGAACCTCAGGGCACCAGGGTGAAGACCAAAGGCTGTGAAACTCCACAGGTGGGACCGGGAACCTCCAGGAACCTCTATCTTCGCATTGAAAACGTGCCAGCAGCCAGCGCAGCATCCGAGTTTGCATACCATGCTCGCCAGGGCCCATGGTTTCCCATCAGCGAGCAGGCTGCCGTGAGAGGTCGACACCTGGCGACATCGAACAGACTGCCCTGAGTTGTTCAACTATAGGTAGTTGAGTACATGAACAACTCCCTTGGGGACTGGTAGTTGGTATCCCCTGGGGTGGGATGAATCAAAATGAGTCATTGCAATCACTGGAAGTTCTCGGGGCACGTTTGGCTCCGACACATCAACAACTACCAGTCACTCCGCGATGCGGTGCACAAAAGCTTCCCCGAGCTGCTCCACACAATTCAAACCCTTCCAAGCGTTGGTAGTCCCCAAGCGGGAAACAGAAACCACGGAAGAGGTTCGGCCTCGCAAAAAAAGGCGACTCAAGCCCAGCACAACTGGCAGAGATAAGCGGAAAAAACCCTACGACCAGCAAAAAGCACCCTTTCAAAGCAGTACAATAAGAACCCCTCACACATAAAGCTGTTTGGGAAATGACACACTCTTCAAGTTGTAAGAATGACAAGTTGGTTCAAAACCTCAACACACACATACACACATGTTCAGCTTGATTTTGGTGGGTCAAAAGAACAAGAACGTGGCTACATGACGATCCTGACTCTGACAACACCCTGAAGCTCTTAGAATCGGCCTGAAGCTCGAAGGCAGAGATTTCAAGGTTTCAGCCGCTGAAGGTGTCCTTTCAGCAAGCCTTTCCTGTCAAGTCTTCAAGGTGGTAGACCCAGATCACGAATCCAAGGTTCTGCAGAATCCAAGGTCTTTCTCAGTCAGGTCTACTTGCGATCTTTTCAAGTAGTACATGTCTGAGAACAATTGGAGCCACACGCAGGGCTCAAACCTACAAGGTCCAGTCTTTCTCTATGTAGGCCTCATCCAAAGCCAAGTGTGCTTCGGACAATACATCGCTTGATCGGCGGGATATATCTATTGCTAAACTCAAAGACGCCATCGCTATCTATTTTGAGGGGCCCCTATCTCGTTTAGACTACTTTATGTAGTAGACTTTAGTAGCAAATCCAAGGTAGCTCGCTTTTTGAGGTGGCCCTATCTTTGAGGTGGCTCCCGTTCTGAATCAAGGCAAAGTAAGCAAATGGCAGCGATGCCGACTGCAGGAAGTGTTCTTTGCAAATCATGGAAATGAACGCATCGGTTGCGCAGGGTGCACAGAATTTGTCCAGGACTCCAGCATCAAGTTCTCCGGCGTGGCGAGGCGATTGTATGCTTGTGTGGGGTAGCTCCATCTTGCTACATCTTGCTATTTTCTCCAAATCAGCAAGACTAGACGACATCTGCAGTCCTGCCAGGGGCATGGCTTGTCCGCCTTCTCATGCACAACCTGCAAAGTGATTGACCTCAATGTGGCCCTCAGAAATGAATTTGTCGGCCTCAAGGTGCTCAGCACCTGCATGCCCTTCCACAAACTTGAGAAACTTCTCAACAACAGACCTGCGTGAAGGACATTTCCCACAAAAATATTCCCTGGACTGAGTCCCTTTTGTGGAATCACAAGTTTGCATAATAGCAGCATCAACAAGCAGCATGGCCAACATACATCGAATGGATGCAAAGCAAGCAGAACTCAACAATGACACCGCCTTCGTTGTGGGATTTGCTCTACATTTGGCTGCCCATGACCTCATCGGTGTTCGACAAGAACAAAATAATTGGAGGTCCACCGTATCTGTCTGTCCTTCACAGTGACCCATCGTACCGATCGCTGCTGCTTCACAGGAACACGCTGCACTTCCAGATATGCGTAAAGAAAGACTAAGAGCTCTCCCTACACACTGCTACTTGAGCTGTCCACGCTGCCTGGCTAAATAACCCCTCGTTTGACCGAATGCGATGCTTCACCTGCACATGCCCATGAAAACATAGGGACCTGCAGCCATTTGCATGTGCATCAAGCCGGTATGAAACAACACCTTTCGGCACGCGACCGTTGTGGAACCAAGCCTTGGGCCTGGTGATGGATTGGTCTCACCGTGATCAAATCCCGTGGCGTAACCGCGTCCTATCCTCTTCCAGCTCTGACAGAAGGTGATCCTTCAAACTTCCAGCAAGAATCAGTTGGTTGCGGGGAAAAGTGAGCAGTTGCAGCACGAGGGCCCGGATTGCAAGAAACCAGCGGACACAGCAAACACAGTGAAGCCATCAGCTAACAGCGAAAAGGCTTTTAATCTTTGGAACTCAGAGTCACACAGTTGCTCGGAAAAACGGGAAAAACACTCCCGCTCGATTCTCGATTCGCTCAACATCACCCCCCACGTTCGAGGGTGATTCAAAACATATCATTTTCCAAGAGATGTCGCCCACCAGGTCCAGAGAGGAGGACTTCATTGGCTCATAGGTTTAGTATCACGCTTGCCCGAGTCACCGAGGCCAATGCCGCGGGGCGCCGGATCCAACGCCGCCTCACGCCATGCCGGTGACCCAGGCTTCTGTTCGTGGGCTGGTTGGAGGGTGCTGTTTGTCTCACTCACGGACCTCACCTGAAAGTCACCAAACATGAGTGGCATGGCAGCATGGAAAGCGGCGCATGACAGCTTCGGCGCTCATGTTACGATGCTCCAGCAACGAAGTCAGCCTCTGTGAGGGTCCCACCAGCACCGTACGGTGGAACGTCTCCTCACAGTGTCGACGAGTGGAGGCTAGTGTGCCAAACCGTGTCAAGACTATTACCTCGAAGGGCACATCAAGAAGATCACTGAGAAGATGAGCGAGCGTAGCGAACGCATTGATCGCATTGGTATTTATGACTCTCAAGGAAAGGCGCTTGACAAAATCCGCATGAAGCCCAACAGGAGCGAGGGTTCTTCAAGGTGGTAGACCCAGATCACGAATCCAAGGTTCTGCAGAATCCAAGGTCTTTCTCAGTCAGGTCTACTTGCGATCTTTTCAAGAAGTACATGTCTGAGAACAATTGGAGCCACACGTAGGGCTCAAACCTACAAGGTCCAGTCTTTCTCTATGTAGGCCTCATCCAAAGCCAAGTGTGCTTCGGACAATACATCGCTTGATCGGCGGGATATATCTATTGCTAAACTCAAAGACGCCATCGCTATCTATTTTGAGGGGCCCCTATCTCGTTTAGACTACTTTATGTAGTAGACTTTAGTAGCAAATCCAAGGTAGCTCGCTTTTTGAGGTGGCCCTATCTTTGAGGTGGCTCCCGTTCTGAATCAAGGCAAAGTAAGCAAATGGCAGCGACGCCGACTGCAGGAAGTGTTCTTTGCAAATCATGGAAATGAACGCATCGGTTGCGCAGGGTGCACAGAATTTGTCCAGGACTCCAGCATCAAGTTCTCCGGCGTGGCGAGGCGATTGTATGCTTGTGCGGGGTAGCTCCATCTTGCTACATCTTGCTATTTTCTCCAAATCAGCAAGACTAGACGACATCTGCAGTCCTGCCAGGGGCATGGCTTGTCCGCCTTCTCATGCACAACCTGCAAAGTGATTGACCTCAATGTGGCCCTCAGAAATGAATTTGTCGGCCTCAAGGTGCTCAGCACCTGCATGCCCTTCCACAAACTTGAGAAACTTCTCAACAACAGACCTGCGTGAAGGACATTTCGCACAAAAATATTCCCTGGACTGAGTCCCTTTTGTGGAATCACAAGCTTGCATAATAGCAGCATCAACAAGCAGCATGGCCAACATACATCGAATTGATGCAAAGCTAGCACAACTCAACAATGACACCGCCTTCGTTGTGGGATTTGCTCTACATTTGGCTGCCCATGACCTCATCGGTGTTCGACAAGAACAAAGTAATTGGAGGTCCACCCTATCTTTCTGTCCTTCACAGTGACCCATCGCAACGATCGTTGCTGCTTCACGAGAACACTTTGGACTTCCAGATACGCGCAAAGAAAAAGCTCTCCCTACGCTCTCTTACTTGAGCTTTCCACGCTGCCTGGCTAAATCCCTTGTTGACCGAACGCCAAACCGATGCTTCCTCTGCACATACCCAGGAAAACATGGGACCTGCAGCCATTTGCATGTGCATCAAGCCGGTGTGAAACAACACCTTTCGGCACGCGACCGTTGCGGGTCATCCACGAGCAAGGAACACTCACGCCATGCCTTCGATCACTCAGAAGGACCTGTCCTCGCGGCTTTCCATGTTTGGAAAGGCTCATGGCCACACAGCTGGAATCAACGCAGCTTCACGCCTTACCAGGCTTCTTTTTGTGGGCTGGTTGGAGGGTGCTCTTTGTGTCACTCACGGACCTCACCTGAAAGTCACCAAACATGAGTGGCATGGCAGCATGGAAAGCCGCGCATGACAGCTTCGGCGCTCATGTTAAGACGCTCCAGCAACGAAGTCAGCCTCTGTGAGGGGTCCCACCAGCACCATACCGGACCGGACCGGCGCTGCCAAGCAGAGCACCGTTTCAACGGGGGCCTTCGTTTCAAGGGTCGTGTACAGGGGCAGTTCGGCCTCGACCAAGGCACGTTCAAGTGGCTTTTAGGTTGCCTCTCAGCCTTCCACCAGTGAACAGGTCATCATCCCCTTATTGACGTCCTGTAGAATGCGCGACGCAAAAGGTCCCACAATGAGAGCGCCCACTTAGGGGTTGTCCTCTTGCCCCTTCCTGGTGCGAACCTTGCGCATCTCTTGTGTGAGCACGGCAAAACCATAGTTTCTGTTCAATTGTGCATTCGTTTAGCAATTTGTACAAAGAGACCTTGCGTGAAACCTTGGACCGGCCTTTCGCGAACTGTGCGCGACGCAGGCTTTAGACCACCTATTATCAATTAAACATGTCGTGTTACTCACTTCTGCTATGTGGGTTTTAGGACGTTTTCCACTTGGCTGAAAGCCTACTAGCAGGAAGATTACAACAATTCTTCATCAATACCTCCTCCTACCTCCGCATGGAAAGGGGGACAAAACCTCTCCAGCACCAGTGGTGGAAGCAGAAGCTAGCTTTGCAAAAACGGAGGCCGGTCACACGATGGAAAGTGGCCTACTTGGAGTCCTTGAAATCTCCTGATATCGCCTTTCGCCACGTCCGCAGAAAGCTGCTGACTTCACCCAAGTATTTTGAGTCTTCATCCAGACATGGATCTGTGCACAGCAAAGGGTTCTGATCCTCACTCTGTCATCTACCTCTCTTCTGGTCATATGTGTGGTCAAAACTCCTAAAACCGGAATGGTCATCCTTCGACCGGCATGGGCCGCCAGATCTGAATGAAAGTCCATATTACAAGTGGATGACCATCGCTTACTGACCCACTACGGTCAGGTGTTTAGACCATAGCACAAATGCGTCTGCGCTTGAAAAAATTATTGAACCATTGAAGTCCAAAATGGGATCAGTTCTTACATTGTACTTCTTACTTGAAATGAAACATACAAACATTGTCTCAAGGGCTTCTGCGTCTTCAGGAGATCAATCAGAACCACATGGCATCACTTGGGGGTTGGCCAAAAATCCTTCTCCCCAAAACCACTCTTGCGCCAGCCTGGTGCGAACCTTGCGCATCTCTTGTGTGAGCACGGCAAAACCATAGTTTCTGTTCAATTGTGCATTCGTTTAGCAATTTGTACAAAGAGACCTTGCGGCCTTTCGCGAACTGTGCGCGACGCAGGCTTTAGACCACCTACTATCAATTAAACATGTCGTGTTACTCACTTCTGCTATGTGGGTTTTAGGACGTTTTCCACTTGACTATTCCAAAACTGTGCTTCTAATGTCAAGATCACAAAATATGACCTAGGCAACTCCAAACCCGTGGCTTTAGGGAACAACTTGACACGAGTGTCAACCGAAGGAGAGGAGGTCAACATATCATCATTCCTCTTCATGATCTTCGGGAAAGACAGAAATGACACTTCCATGCCGAGATGTTCCCGAAGAGCTTGCATCTTTGGCTATGAGGCCTGGACAAAGTATCCTTGAAGCTTCAAAGGGCTCTTGAGCTTCTCGAGCCCCTCGAGTTTATTTCAGCTTTATCCTTGCCAACAGTTCAGCCTCTTAAGCCGTCCTTGCCAACGGTTTCTGTCTTAGCGAGGTGACCCTGACAAATCATCCAGCAAAGCTTTGGGGGTACCGTGTACAGAAAGCAGGAGCACTTTTAGTCATCCTTGAAAGGCAACATCAAGCAACACTGAAGAAGGGGGCGAATGCTGTTTGACCTGCCAATCCTCAATCCAAAGCAGTGAAACATTTGCACAGGCTGACATGTGTTTCTTCCAATCTCCTTTGGTGGCTTCACCTGACGGATCAACATCCAATAAGAAATCTCAAACGTTATCACCGGCGCTTTCACAGCAACTTTCAGCACCCAAGTCACAGCAGAATGGGCCGAAAGGTAGGCAAGTCAGATTGGATGTCTGGCCGCAATGACGACCGTGGCCACTTCGTTTGCCACAATGGAGCTTCGAAGACTTGGTGCCTTTCCTCATGCTAAGCAGACTTGGTGTACTCCTTTCCGGCGCTTTGCAGTGAGCTTTGTCATGGTATCCTCACGTCGCAACCTTCAAAGACTTTACAAAATCATTCCAGCATCTTGCAGTATGAGTTTCCCCAAGGATCGGTATAAGCCGTATAAGCTGTATATTGCACTCTGGACATCCTGGCCACACAATCATGAGAAAACCCCCCGCAGAGAACGCTTCAGAGTCGGAAGTGTTAACAACATGTCAGTCAAGGGTGATGAGTTGCACACTCAGAGTCCGTCAGAGATGTTCATAACCAATCAAAGTCTCTGTGTCTGTGTCATCGGATTTACTCGGACTTTAACCAAGAGACCCAGTACCTGGGCTGAGTCCTTAAAGCCCCCCTCAGGGGAATGAAATCAGGCGATTCAAATGTCAAGGCTGCGGCATTATTGGTGGAGGATGATACTGGGTAACTGCATCAAATTGCACGGTGAGTAAAATCGTCTTCAAATGGTGTGCCCATGCAGTTTGGGTTCTGGACAGGGTTGTTATTTGCACTTGAGAAACAAAAAACGCAAGCGAGATATTACTTTTCTCATCCCACCAAGCGCTTGGCCAATGCTTTGCAGAGATGCAGTTTGCATTTTTCAGAGTGACAAGGGAGATTTCGACGGCTGTTCAGGGGATTGACAAATTTGATTTAATTAATTCGGCATGTGCCCAAGTTTTTGTCACTTGCAAGGGTCTATGGCATGGGCATGCAGGTGATTCTTCGGGAGATTGAGGTCACAGAACAGGAGCATGGAACTCAGATTCACTTCATTGATCCCTGTACGGCTTGTGGCCCCCAACGACCTTCGAGCAGTGTGCAATGGGTCGGAAAGCATGCCATGAGAATGGGTGGGGTGTGGTGTCAATCACATGCTGAAGCATCCAGAAAAAACGAGAAAATCCCTTCGGTGCCTTCCAAGCCTTGGCTCAGTGCAAAAAGGTCGGTAAGCCTTGGCTCAGCGCTGAGATGCGCTGAGCATGCCACCTCAACGCGTCTGCGGTCCGTTGTCCACCGCCCTTTGGAAACAGATCCACGAGGTGACGATCTGGGTCGCACGCTCAGGCGACCAAAGGGGGGGGAAGCGGTTGGAATTTCCACGAACGGCCCAGCATTTTGCTGCACACCAGATCTCTGCCTACACACCAAATCTGCACCCCCGATGGCTTGATGGAGCTTGGGAGGCGCGGCTCCATGTCCTCAGAGTCGCGTAGGGCGGTGCTGGGCGGTGCCCTCGGCCTACGCGGTCCGATCCGTGCAGGTCACCGTCTCAAAGCCTAAGCGCGGATGGGTCACATATAGGTCGATGCGGCAGTCGTTGCCCTTGTCAATCCACCACGAATGGGTAGGGCAGCACCAGGCAGGACAAAGAACTGTTGCTAAGTGGACAAGGAACTGCTGGCATGTTAAGTGTCGTGTCAACTTAACTTGTAAAGCGGGCATTATTACAGTGGAGTGTGTCGAGTCGGCTTCCCGCCGTAGATGGAGACAACCAACATAAATCCATGAATGGTTTGACCCTAACATGAGAATGAGAAGCGCCTAACCATCATCAACAAGCCGGTCCACACTGTGGCTCGGGCTCACAAACCACGGTTTGTAGGTCTTGCGTCCGCACTACGTCCAGTTGCAACTAGACATGGACCTTTCCCTTCTTGGCATGGCGTCAACTTGGCAAGAGAAGTGTTGAAGCTTGATGTTATCACGAGAACCACACCCCATTGATCGCTGTGCCATTGATCGCTGTGCAATGAACCTTGCAAACTCCTGCCTAGCCGTAGTGGAGTCTTGTTCTGTGCTGTACGGCACATGGCCAGCATATGCCAACAGGCAAAGTGTTGCTTTCACGAAGGCAAGGTGCTTGAATTCCCGCGATGTGATAGATCACTTGCAAGACGGCTTGTTTTCAGGCTGACGATGACAATCACACTGCACACTTGTACCCTTTATTAGCATGTCGCTGGCCAATCATGCTGGGACCCATTGTCAAACTCTCTTTGAGAAGGCCATGCGCTCACATAAATGATTTGGACACTTTAACATGAGAATGAGAGGTGCCTAACCATTATCAACAAGCTGGTCCACACAGTGGCTTGGGCTCACTAACGCACTGTTTGTCCTTCTTGAGTTCACACTACGTGCACTTACAAGTCGACACAGACCTTTCCCTAATTCGGATAGTGTCAACTTGACAAAAATGAGTGCTGAAGCTTGATGTCTTCAAGAGAACCCCACCCCGTTGATCTCCACGCGAAAACTCCTGCCTACAGATGTCTGAGTCTTTTTTGCGCTGTACGACACATGGCCAGCATATGCCAGCAGGCAAAGCGTTGTTTTCGCGAAAGCGGGGTGCTTTCGTCCCCAATTATGTGACAA